AGCTGCAAAAATTAGCTAAGGAGAAAGCCGACTTGGAGCGCGATTTGAAGAGGAGCACCAAAGTTACAATTGAAAGAAGGCCTTCGCGAGATCTCCACAATGAAAAGGAAAAGAGAATCAAGGAATTGTCAGAGAAAGTTGCACAGCTAGAGCGCGAAATACAGAAAGGTACTAAAGAATACTCTATGCTGAGAGAAGAGAATGACGATCTGGAAGAGAAGATCAATAATCTGAAAGACGAGAACAACTTCCTCCATACCAGGTTGTCCCAGCTGGAACACGATAGCAAGAGGGATGGTAACAAGATTGACGAGCTTGAAAGAGAGATCCAAGAACTGCAAGATCAGTTAGAAAAACAAGGAGGAAGTGGTGAATCAGGAAATGATGAACTGCTTATGGAGAAGAAAAAACTTAACGACAGGAACAACAAGTTACAAAACGATCTGAACCAAGCCAAGCAAGACATAACCGAGTACAAAAACCAAGTGGCAGACTTAAAGAAACAACTAAACGAGTTCGATGACAGCTCTAAGCAGCTTTCTGTGCAAATTACGAAGTTTGTGGGAGATCAAAGCGATACGCTCAGAAAGGAGGTCCAGGAGAAAGACGATAAAATTGAAAAACTACAGCAAGAGAAGCTCGAAGTAGAAATGAAATTGGAACGTCTTAAGGAAGAAATGGAGGTTGGAAAATCTGCTCTCGGCGACCTTCAGAAGCAGAATGAAACCCAGAAAGAATACATTAAGACCTTGACTGACGACAAAAACAAGCTTGACAACAGACTTGTTGAAGAAATGAACTTTAGCAAGGTAAAGATTGCTGAGGTTGAAGCTGAACAAGACATCCTGAATAAGAAGCTTAAGGACAAAGACGACCTTATCAAGAAATATGATAAGCAGGTCCAGGATTTACGAGAACAGCTGGCTACATCTGTTCCCAGCGATCAGGCTTCCACAACTTTGATCATGGACGTAGACAAGCGACGAAAGCACCGCCAGCATAGTTTAATGCTATCCTATCAAGAAGGGTTGATGAACAGACCTGTTGGGCTCTACCGATCGACGAGTGAAAGCAGTCTTCCTAACGGGGACGTCTCAAGGTCAAGCGACCTCAGCAGGAGCGACTCAGAGCGCTCTCAGTTTGGTGAGCTTCTTGGTAAGGAGATCCCACACGGCAAACGAAGTGGCAGGACCAGTGAACCTCGAGATCACGTTGGCGAGACCGTGGAGGCCACCACTAAAGTCTCCACAGAGTCTGAACCCGACTATGCCGCCCAGCTGAGGAGCAGCACCCCAGTCTTAGAAGAAGAGGACAAAAGAAGTGGAAGGAGACCATCTGACAGAACTTCAGGATCTCGCTATGGAGACCGCCACGATACCCGAGACAGCAGCGGCAGAGACAAAGACCGCGACGCCGATACCAGCAGAACCAGAGCATCTGACAGGGACAGGCGTAGCTCAGATCGGACACGCGATCGAGATAGATCCGAGTGCAAGCAAAACTGATTGTAGGAATTAATGAACCCTTAAATCTCTTAACTGTCACAAAGGTTTGTTTAGCCCGGGTTGTTCAAAGCTATGTTAAGGTAACCCAGGGTTTGTGTGAAATTTGACTTCAGGCCTCAAAGCTTTAAGAGAAAATTCAGGTCAAATCTTTTTGCTTGCAATTCGATCATTGGATGTTCTAAAAAGATTAGTGAAAATTTTCCCTAAAAAACTTTAGAACAAAGAAATAAAGAAACCTGAATTAAAATTTGACCCTGGGTTAGGGCTAATCGACCTTTGAACAACTAGGTCCAGTACATTAATTAGCCGCCTTTACCGCTCGTTTCTGAAAACTTGGTATTTTATTATTTTGGCCATTTACGGAAAGACCCAGTTCACTAGTCAGTTGATAAAGTACAAGTGTTATCGGCTACTTTCAAAACCTTAGGTCAATAAAATGATTAGATAATTGAAAGTAATTGAGTCACGGCTGAGTCAATTATAGTCCGTCAGTTCTTTAAATTCACTTTGTTTACAAAAATCTTCTCTTAAGTCTTTAAGACCTAGGAAGAAATATAAACTTACAGAGAGAAATTGGGTGTCGGAAACTTTGTCAGTTTCATTGAGTAGTAACAAGTAGAAAAAGCATCAAAAGTTGGGTTGCTGATTGCTCATTTTATTGGAAGCTTGTTCGAAACATTACAGCTTGTTTGGACGTAGATTAATTTTTTTTTGTAGGAAATCATTCAATTTACCGTGCTTTCTCACTTTAGGCTGATCTCCAAAGTTTTCGTGAGAAGGAACAAGAACATGTCATTGATAATACTTAAGTTAACAATGCAGCATTTCAAATAGTGCTTTTCAGATGTTTCCATGAGATGCGAATTAAAATGACAGTAATCTATCGGCCTTTGAATAAATTCAGCAAAAAAGTAGCTTTGAAAGTCATTAATCGAACTAAGTTAATACGACCTTCAAAACTGAAGGCATCTAAGGCATTGTTACCCGGTAGAAGTGTAGTTTTTGTGCTATCTTTAATAAAATAAAGTTTCGTGTTTTTCAATTTGAAATAATGTGTGGCAAGAAGTTGATTATGCAAAGCGAGGCAAGGAGATAATTACCAACATCTGCAAGTCATCACCACTGTGGGGAGACTGAAAGTAATTTCTGTTAACCCTATAACCCCTAAGGGTGCCTAGAATCTAATTTCTCCTGCCAATATCACCCCTGAATCACACATTACTAGAATATAGGAAATAGTCATCAAACAAAAAAGTTTTTGGCTGTTAAACAAATTCTCCTTGTCAGCACCATAAGGAAATGTGTAGAGAACAGTATGGAGAATATGCATACTGATGTTAGGGTGTAAAGTGTAAAAAACAACTTTCTGTGAATAACTAGAAATGGGACAGGAAATAGGCCCTGTTTCCTCTGCAGATACCTGATTTTTACCAGATTTTCCTGTCAAATCCAAAACAACACCTAGAACAACACCTAGATCAAATTTGTAATTCTCCTTACTCCTTACTAGAAATGGGATAGGAAATAGGC